CCATCCCTGGAGGTGTTCAAAAGAGGGGTTGATGTAGTGCTGGGAGGTATGGTTTAGTGATGATGCTCCTTGTTTGTTGTGTGGGTGTCTATTTTTGTCAGTTGGGTTGACGGTTGGACAAGATGATCTTTAAGGTCCCTTCCAACCTAGAAGATTCTGTGATTCTGTGAAAACAATAGTTATCCTTCCTCCCAAAACTTGTAATTGCTAAGAGAGGTCGTTTTTCCACAAAACAGTGTGAAATGCTCCAGCCCTCCCAGCATCTTCTACTCCATTCATACATTTTTCTGTAGCATCTTTAAGGTCTAATAGTTCTTCCCGTAACACCTTAATGGACTAAATAAAAGAATATTATGGTAATACAGCAGCCTCCCTGATCCCAGAGCTGAGAAATTATTATTATACAGTAAAATACCATAATGTATCAAAATTTTTAATGTGTTACCTAACTTTTTTTTTTAAATCTTAATTTTGATAGTTTTACTTTGCCATTACCAAAAGTGTCAGAGTTTTAAAACAACTCTCCTGTAGCAGACAAATGTGGAGTTAATACATTAAAAAAAGCTACAGTGCGGGGGGAACTGCAGTTTTTGACAAGTTGTTACCATATTGGGGAAGGTGAGGCATAACAGATGCAGACAGATGATTTAACGGGGAGGGAGGTCACCTGAATTCCACTCATTTGATTTATGGGAGGAGAAAAAAAGTAAATCAGCCATTTACTTGTTCTAGCCTGTCACATAAGAAAATTTAGTTACAGAACAAGAAATATTTGGTCAACAGTATCTTTCTCTGTTGGCGAGGAAGCATAAATCCTTTGAACGTGGCTTTTGTCACCATTTTCTTAAAAAGGAGTTATATCTGAAGTATTGGGTTAAAAGCCAATCAACCGCTGTTAGATGTGCGTATTTTAAAGAAATTGATTATTGCCTTTGAAACATAGTGCTATAAAGTAATTAAGGTTTTAAGCTTAAACTTCCAAGGAGCACATGTTCAGAAAGCCAAGAGATTCATAAATTTATGAATGCAAAGAAAAAACAAACCAGCTTATCAGTGGATCCATGTTAGCACCTGTATCACTCTGGCAAATACAACCATCAGAGGTGATTTGATCCCCGAAATCCAAAAGGATTTCAGCTCCACACAGAAAGCAGAACGTGAACAGAAGCTGAACCATCTCCTGCAATCCTTCATCAAGCTCCCATTTCCTTCGTCTGCCTCCAATCCTGCTCTCCCAACTCCTCCCTTCTCACCAGGGAACGCTTCAGCTCCTGCCCTTCTGATTCTCATCAAATCCTCTGCTGAGCCAGGAAAGCATCTGCTGCTTTCCCTCCAAACAGGAGAACACTCTGATCATGTCTGACTTCCCCAGCTGAAATTAGAACCAAAACTGTGGTGCTAGTTATTATAACTGGTCAGTTTGTATGTCCTTTGACAGCAGATGAGGACAGGACGTGTGAGAGTACTCTAATTATAAGACAAAAATAGAAATCTCTCCGAACTCCTTTAATTTTCTAGTGATTTCGTCATGTTAATCTGGTCAAGCTTATCATATTATTCCATTGTTAGTCATCAACAGGAAGTGATAAATGCTGCAGACAAGCTGGGTTGCAGATAAAAGGGAAAAAAAAAAAAATCAATGTTCTTTGATGCTGTACTAATGGATGCAGTCTCAGAAACCAAAGATGATGCAGCAAGTGCTCATATTTAATGTGAAACAAAGACCTGGAACACAGAGATGCCAACCCAAAGCACTAGTAAAACATGCAGACCAACCCAGACAGTTCCCACTATATTAAATTCATTTAATTTCATCCTAAAATGAAGTTTGACTACCAGATACAAGAGGCAATGCCACAAGAACTATTTGTACCCTGCAGGTACCAAGATTATATCAACATGTGCTCACAGCACCTGGAAGAATAAGACTGGGAGTTTCCTGCTCTCTAAAACCTCCCAATATTTCCAAGACAGTAGATCTTTATCTACTGTCATCTTCTTAAAGAGCTAAGAAATTCTTAGCTTTTTTTTTTTAAAAAGCCTCATTTCAATTGAGGAGTTGACAAAGATTCATCCCACTTCAGACGCAAAGTTGAGTAGAAGAAACCCAAGCCAAAGGTCTTAAATTTGTTCTCACAATAAGGAGAACCATCCTCAAAGGAAAAAAAAAAAAACAAACACATTTCCTACCTTCATGTCCTCCCAGGGAACTTTTAAATAGCCCTCAAAACTCCTTTTGTAGAAGGTGAAACACAAGTGCTAAATAGGAATCTTTAACACAAACAGAAATGCCTGATTGTTTACAGAGTGTTTAAACACCACTCATTTTTCAGGCACGGAGCAGCTTGTTTTTAATCACCCAGGATTTCCAGTCTAGACTCTACTGGGTGAAAAACTCCACAAACCCCTTGCACAAGTAATATCCGAGCGCCTGTGCAAATCCTTAAGGTCCAACTCACCACAGAACTGAGGAGCTCAAACTCTTGGTCGGGCATAAAAGAGCGCCAGCCGTCCTCAACGATTTCAAACATGGGCCGGTAGAAGAAGGGATACATGAGAGTGACTGAATCCAGGGTGGAAAGTGCCTGCGTAGGGCAAGAGGAATAAACAGCTGCTAAATTTAGTCAAACTACTACTTGATTCCAAAAAACATACAGCAAAGAGTGTTTTCCTCTGATATCGGTGATGCAAACTTAACGCACTCAAAAAGTACACAGCCGTGAAGCTTGAAACACTAAGTCACCTGCAGGAGAGTTTAACACACGTAAAAAAAAAACAGTAGCACAAATAAAGACACACACTGAACAGGTACAACTAATAGAACACATCCTACATGGCATGTACCTGATTATTAACAGCAGAGCTTAAACTCAAGAAGCCACTCAATGTTGTTTGAGGCACATGAAACTCACTCTGATTTGGATTTGCCTCAATGAAGCTGAGCTTTGTTTTCCTAAATGCTATGGCAAGCTACTTGATCAAGAAAAACAGGGTTGTGGTGTTCTTTGGCTGGGTTTCTTTTTTATTTTTGAATTTATTTTGCAAGCAATATTACAATAATTGAAAGGAAATATATCCCACGATTCTCATTTGCCTTCCAGAACATCAATGAAAACCCTCCTATCTGAGAAAGAAAAGCTGTGGAGGTCAAGGTCAGATCAAGATCTGAGAACTTCAGTGCTGTTTACCATTATGAATTCTTACCTCAATCGAGCTCGCAATGTTCAAACACTCTTCCATTCCAGGTATATCCAGCTGAATAATTCGCAGATCTTTGCATTTTATGATGATGGTACCCAACGAGCCCACAAACCTACAGCAAGACACGGAGAAAGAGTCTCTTAAGAACAGGACCCTCTAAGGTGTGATGAGGACTTATAGCTCTTCCCACAACATACGCCTAAAAGACAAAATTCCATTATTAGTAGCAATTATTAGCCTGCAATATCAGCTTTTGAAAATAATAAACAAACAAAACCACCTCTTTATTTGGCATTTGCAAGTTGTGGTCTGCTATTGTTTTTTAATTCCATCTTTGTGATACGGCAGCGAGTGAAAGTATATAAGATAAAGAGAAGGTTTTCCAGTTTTTCTTTAAAACATGAGAAAGAAAAGGTGTTTCCAGGTATTTTCTGATAGTACTGGAAATTTCAGCATTGCAGTAACGTGCTGAAACTTTGAGGATTGTGTCCTGGGTGGCAGAGCTTGAGACTCTTAATCACTCTTTAAAGCAATTTAGTTTGTTTTTCCACCCATTTTCTCTCCTCTAATCTGAAAGGAGAGAGAGGTAAGAGATCATCTGTCTTATGTTTTTGTGCCCAGCCCAGCCCAAACCATGAGATTTTTTTTTTAAAAAAGAGTTTAAATTAATTTTTAAAATAACATTTCAGTCTGGCTACATTACACTCCCTTGTCTTAAATAAGAAAGTTTGGTTTCTGCAACTTTCCATGCCACGGAGCGATGTGCTCTGCAGACTTCAGAGGAGTTAAGGTTTTATCACCGCTGGTTCAGACACAAATCAACCCAGAAAAAGCTCTACGTTAGAAAACAACCAGAGCTCACAGACGCCCTCTCCAGTCTCCTTTATGTTCCTGAAAGAAGGATGGTGTCTGAACAGAAATAGAGTGTTTTCTTCATATTAATTTGCTGCTAGTGTCCACAAAAATGATGTGGATTTTAGTTCAGAAAGCAGTGAACTAAGGAAAAGCATCTGAAGCTCCTCATGAGCTGCAGGAGTGCTTGTGGCAGCCTAAGATGATGCAAGAAGCAGAAGCAAGACCTGAAGGACCAAATTTGAGCCCCTGGTGGCCTCACCCTCACTCAGACCACGCACGCTCCAAGAGGAGACACGTTGAGCTTTGGGTTCCTTCACCTGCGCTACAAGAGCTGCCCGTTATTTATTTTAGAATTCTTATTACATCTGAAAGGCCATTAATTATTTCTTCTGTGCAGATAGAGGTTAACACGCAGAACTAATTAACACTTGGACAGTGCTGGAGGAGGAACTATGGGCTTTTTGACCGAGTTCTGCAACTCCAGCAGAGCCAGACTGTGCGTCGGTTGCCCTCGTTGCCGCGCTATTTCACAGGTCCCCAACGTAGTAACACAGCTCAGCTACAACACATCGCCGGGGCTGCACGTCCTTCCCATGTTTCTTTAAGATAAAAAAAATGTCCCCAACGTAGTAACACAGCTCAGCTACACATCACTGGGGCTGCACATCCTTCCCACGTTTCTTTAAGATTAAAAAAATATAGAAGATCCCTAGAGACCCTTCAGCTTCTCAACAAACCCTACGGGTCGTATATAAGCTGCTTTAAAAGGCTACAAAAATTCAAGAAGCGGTTTGATGAGGACGTGGTAATTAGGGAATACACTGATTTGTATAAAAGACGCTCATCTTTTGGGAGAAAAGATTTTTTTAATGAACCTAGCAAAACGTCACAGCTGTTGGGCACTAATAACCTGAAGCAGTGCCAAACTGGACCTTTCTACAACCTTTTTTTTGGCTTAAGAGCTTTGTTATTGCATTTTCTCCAGCACAGAGGATATACTCTTAGCTTTTTATACGGCAAAGTTTCACTGCAGTTATGTACACACAAAGCTGCTCTCTGGAGTAGACATCTCCCTCCCTGAGACCTTCTAGAAACCAGGGCTGGCAATCAGGGCTGTGAGTTGTAGCTGTATCTGTTAGAAATCACAGCAACACGCTACTCCCTCGCCATAATTTAAGACATTCCTTGCTCATTTGGTATTAACTTACACTGTAATTGCAACTAAGCTCATGAAAATAATAAAGAAAGAAAGGCTTGCCTATAATCATTTTCAAATCATTTTTTAGTACAAGCAGGAAGGAAGATAAGACCACAGAATCACAGAATGATACAGGGTTGGAAGGGACCTCTGGAGATCATCTAGTCCAACCCCCTGCCAGAGCAGGTTGCACAGAAACATGTCCAGGTGGGGTTTGAATGTCTCCAGAGAAGGAGACTCCACCACCTCCCTGGGCAGCCTCTTCCAGGGCTCTGCCACCCTCACAAGAAAGAAGTTCCTCCTCATATTGAGATGGAACTTCCTATTTACAAGTTTGTGCCCATTTCCTCTTGTCCTGTCCCTGGGCACCACTGGAAAAAGACTGGCCCCATCCTCCTGACACCCACCCTTGGAAGTATTTATAGGTGTTGATCAGATCCCCCCTCAGCCTTCTCTTCTCCAGACCAAAAAGACCCAAGTCCCTCAGCCTCTCCTCAGCAGAGAGATGCTCCAGGCCCCTCATCATCTTTGTAGCCTCTGCTGTCCCCTCTCCAGCAGTTCCCTGTCCTTCTGGAACTGGGGAGCCCAGAACTGGACCCAGTGCTCCAGATGGGGCCTCCCCAGGGCAGAGTAAAGGGGCAGGATGACCTCTCTTGACCTGCTGGTCACACTCTTCCTGATGCCCCCCAGGATGCCATTGGCCTTCTTGGCCACAAGGGCCCATTGCTGGCTCCTGGGGATCCTGTTGTCCACCAGGACTCCCAGGTCTTTCTCCTCAGAGCTGCTCTTCAGCAGCTCAGCCCCCAACCTGTACCAGTGCAGGGGGTTATTCCTCCCCAGGTGCAGCACCCAAGGCCAAACCACCCTGAAATCTGTTCCTGTATTAAGATGGCAACAGATTTCCTCAGGTTTCCACCACTCTGTTCCCCTCTCCACCCCCAGGCCAAGACGCTGCCTTTCTCAGAAATGCTGGGAGAAAATTAGGAACACGGGAAGACTCTTAATCAGCATCCAGTACTTCACCCAGTCCCACATTCCGAAGCAATCTGGTATTTTTAATTGCTGCTGCTTGATTTTTCCAGTCTTTCTGGCAGAAAGGAAATCTATTCCTCCAGATTTCCCTAAAAAGCAAGGAAAACAGGGGAGTGACTTTATAATTAAAAAAAAAAAATAAAATATTAGGAGGAAACTGAAAAAAGGACCAAGGTGAGGAAGCAGAAGCCAGTGACCAGGTGAGATGGGATGGCCACTCGATGAGGGAAGCAAACGATGGGGCAAAGGTGCATGAAAAGCAGAGAGAAGAAGATTTATCTCTGAAGTCCCTGTAAGAAAAGGGGATGGACAAGAACAAAATGGAGAGCTGCAGCGACAACTCAGCTTCACCACATCCTTCCCACAAGGAGTATGATGTTAAAGCATTATTGATTTCCATAAGCAGTCGGGGGGATGGAGACAATAAAGGGATGATGCTGTCGAGCAGCAAGAGACTGATCTGGGCCTGAGAAAGTCTGGAATCCATTTCTGCCATCAGTTTTGGTGGCTGATCCAAGGCAAATCACTTCATCAAGTGCCTCAGCTTCCATCTCCACTCCACAGTGGTAAAGATGAACCTTTATAAAGTGTTTCCAGAGCTACTGGTGAGATTCGCTGAACAATTATCACAGACTACTCTTGACAAAGGTGTTGAAACACAGAATCATAGAATGGTTTGGGTTGGAAGGGACCTTAAAGATCATCCAATTCCAACACCCCGACCACAGGCAGGAATATTCTGACTCTATATATGACCAAAAAACAAACCCTCAGGGTTCAACAGTCCAATATCAATATCCAAGCAGAATAAGACTTAAGCTACTATTGCCAATATTCTACCATCGCGACTTATTGATTATTTTCCTTTCCAGACCTGGATTTGAGACAGTCGAAGTGAAAACCAGTCTTAACAACCGCTGTTTCAACCCATAATGAGACACAAACGATTAGATGCAGCGAGGCAGGGAAAGTAGAATTGTGGAATTGCTGGGTTGGAAGAGATCTTGCAGATCATCAAGTCCAACCATCAACCCAACACTGACAAAACTCATCACTGACCCATGTCCCTCAGCACGACGTCTGCCCGGCTTTTAAATACCTCCAGGGATGGGGACTCCACCACTGCCCTGGGCAACCTCTTCCAAGGCTTGACAACCCTTTTGGTGGAGAAATTTTCCTAATATCCATCCTAAACCTCCCCTGGCACAACTTGAGGCTGTTTCCTCCTGTCCCATCACCTGTTCCTTGGGAGAAGAGACTGACCCCCCCTGGCTACACCCTCCTTTCAGGGAGTTGGAGAGAGTGAGAAGGTCTCCCCTCAGCCTCCTTTTCTCCAGGCTGAACACCCCCAGCTCCCTCAGCCGCTCCTCACAAGACTTGTGCTCCAGACCCCTCACCGCCTCCGGAACCCACCTCTTTTCAATAGAGTCGATGTTGGAGTGCAGCAGCCACAGCTCCTCGGCGTTATCCTGACGCCGCGACGAGAAGATGAGATGGTGGCCGGTCAGACACAGGGTCCCCTCCACGGCCGGGTAGAAAGGGCGGTGCAGGGCCACATTGTCCGCTCGGGGGGTCTTGATCAGCTCCGCGAACTCCATCCTCCCTCCGGGCGAGCGGGCAGGGCCCCGGGGAGGCCTTCACCGACAGACGCGGAGGGAGGGTTGGGGGTAACTTCAGGGGACGGGGGACACGGGGGCGGCCTACAACCGGCGGACAAAGCCTCCGAAGGCCGGTGGGGGGTTAAAACCCGACGGTGATGCCGGGGAGAGCCAGGCCGATACCGGGGAGCAGCGGGGGGATACTGGCTCTGAGGAGGCCGGTGCCGCCACAGGGCCCCGTTCCCAAAATTGAGGGGGGGAGGGAGGTGGAGTGAGGGGAGACCCCCGGTGCTTGACACAGTGGGGCCCAGCGGGGGAAGGGATCCCCGGTTCGAGCCGAGCTGCCCCGCGGGCCCCGCCGCCTCCTCACAGGCGCCCGGCAGAGCCGTACCGGGCCGGAAGTCCGCCCTTCCCCGGATGTTGAAGAAAGGGGGCGGCTCACGTGACCGAGCAGACCCAATCAGCGCCCCGCCCTTACCGGAAACGGCCTTGTGGTAAAAGCGCCCGGCGCTGCCCGTAGCCCCGCAGCGACCGTTCCGCCCCCTCCCGCGGGATTCACGGGAGCGGGGAGGGGACGGGATGAGGGGGACTGTGCGAAGGGGGCATGGCCTTGCCGGAGGGAAACCAATGGGAGAAGAGAACCGGCGCGGGGGCGGGGGAAAGGGGCGGGGTGAGGGCGGGGAGAGTGGAGAGGGCGGAGCTACGGGGCGGGCAGCAGCGCAGAGTCTATTGGTGGAGGAGGCAAGGGGCGGAGCTTAGGAGTGGGGGCGTGGCCTCAGATGGGAAGGGGCGTGGCCTTGGGGCGGGCAGAAGGCAGGGCCGTGGGGAAGGGGGCGTGGCCTTGGGGCGGGCAATGGCGGTAGCCCCGGGGCGAGCAGGGCCAGAGTCGCGGAGTTCCCCTTGCCCAAGCGCCCCGGTGTCCGCCGGCAGCCGCACTTTGGGCACGGAACCTGCCTGGGGTGAAGCCCCGGGGGGGCAGGGAGGGGCCTGAGGGGCTCAGTCCAGGTGCGCTCATGGAAAAGGCCAAAAATTCAGAGCTCCCACCCCCCGCCTGCGTGTGCCCTGACACTCCTGAGATGGTGGTGTGTGTGGCGCTTCTCCGAGACCACCCTGGCAGCTCAGCCACCCTGCACGATGGGGACAGAGTCACAGAATGGCTTGGGTTGTAAGGGACTTTCAAGATCATCCAGTTCCAACCCCCTGCCCTGGGCAGGGACACCTCCCACCACACCAGGTTGCTCCAAGCCCCCTCAAACCTGCTTCTGAACCCCTCCAGGGATGGAGCAGCCACAGCTTCTCTGGGTCAGGCTCTCACCACCCTCACAGCAAAGACGTTCTTCCCAAGATCTCATCTCAATCTCTCCTTTTCCAGTTTAAAACCCTTCCTCCTCCTCCTAGGGCTCCCCTCCCTCATCCAGAGTCCCTCCCCAGCTTTCCTGGAGCCCCTTGAGGGACTGGAAGGGGCTCCAAGGTCTCCCTGGAGCCTTCTCTTCTCCGGGCTGACCCCCCCAATTCTCTTCCGGGCTGACCCCCCCCAACTCTCTCAGCCAGCCTTCCCAGCATCTCCAGGGCCTCCTCTGGCCCCATCCAACAGCTCCATGTCTCTCCTGTGCTGAGGCCCCAGAGCTGGAGGCAGCACTGGGGGGGTCTCCCCAGAGTGGAGCAGAGGGGCAGAATCCCCCCCCTGGCCCTGCTGGCCACGGGGCTGGGGATGCAGCCCAGGGGACAGGGGGGCTTTTTTGATTGCACGTTGCTGGATCATGCCCTCGTGCCTACACAGGGGCAGACCCCTCTGGTTATACCTTCCTTTCCATCACCCAAAACGTTTTCCCATGTCAAAGGTGGTGCCTGAGGGCTGTAGCTGCTCCTTCCCAGCGTGGTACCTCCTGTGACACTGTCAGCATCCTGCAGCTGGTGGTGACAATGCAGAGAGTCTATTCCCTGGGTTATTCCTTTAAAACCCACCCCTGTTAGGAAAGTCAGAGAGCTTGGGCATGGCTGAAACTCGAATCTCCACACTGAACTTATTGGCAGGGATTTCACGGAATCACAGAATTATCAGAGTTGGAAAGGACCTCTAGAGATCCCTTTGATCCAACTCCCCTGCTAAAGCAGGATTTCCTAGAGCACATCACTCAGGACTGCATCCAGGGAGGTCTTGAAAATCTCCAGAGAGAGGACTCCATGGCCTCCCTGGGCAGCCTGTTCCAGGGCTCTGTCACCCTCACTGTAATGAAGTTTTTCCTCGTATTTGAGTGGAACTTTCTATGTTCCTATCTCTGGAAACCACTGAAAAGAGTCTGGCCCCATCATCCTTCAACCCACCCTTTAGATACTTGTAAACGTAGGCAAGGTCTCTCAGCTGACCCAGGCAATGTTAGGAAGCAGCTCCAGAGTCGTGCAAACTCCGTTTTGGGGGCTAAGAAAATCTTAATATTGATGGGCCAGACTATACCTGAAGTCCAGAGGAGAGGTCCCAGCATGGGGTTGTTCACTAGCAGTTGGGTTTCACCAAAGCCCATAAGTTAGCAAGATTAAAAACTGAATTTGACGTTTTTAATGTGGAAACCCAGCATTTACCCTGAGAGTATTTGTAAGACTGAGAAGGGCTGTCTACAAATTTCTCTGCTTCCAAGCGAAAATGAGCTTCTAAGCAGGGGCAAGGGGATGAAGGACTCTTCGTGCTGGCAGCAAATGCCAGACATCTCCTGAAGAGGGGCTCAGCCCCCTGCGTTGGCCATGGCAGCTCCCCAGAAGAGGATGCTGGACCACGTGGGTGGATGTGGGCTCTGATGCAGAACCACAGGTCCTGCTCCCCTGGAGAAACTCCGATTCCTTCGTCGCCATCTGCTTTATCTCTGAAGAAGAACAAAGCGTGAAAATCAGGTCATCAGACACTTCTAGGACTGTCTTCGGAGGAGATGAATAGCTGTTTGGTGCCATCCTGGCCGTGATGACTCCGGTGGTGCGAGTTCAAGGTTGTTCAAGTCCCTGCCTGATGGAAACAGCCTGGAACTATCTGTGCAGATGCAAACAGGCAGCTTTGGATGACAGCCTGTTCTAGGCAATTGCACAGGAGAAGGATTGCATAGGTGTTGGGATACAGTGACCTGAATTCTTATGCTCCCCTCTGGTGGGTGAGTTCATTCTGAGTTTGTCCAGGCTGTGACTTGCATGTCTTACTGATGCTGGCAGTTTAGGATTATTGCAATATCTGAGAATGATTTGAAAGTCTAATTAAAGGTATTTTCTTCTCATTGAGGTATGCAAAGATTCGTAATAAGGAAGAATAATTCTCCCCTTACAGCACTGATCCACATCCTCAACCCCTCGAAAAGAGAAGAGGGGTCTCTCCTGGGCCTACAGCTACCAGGGCATGGGATTCTCAGGTATAACTTAAAATAAAAACATGCCTACATTGCTGCTTTCATTCCAGTGCTGAGATGGCTTGAAAGAAGAAGGACTAATCCTCTCTCCATGGTATGAATCCAGAGCTAAACACGACCTCCCATCTCCAGGGTATGAGCAGGACTGTTAAAGTGCTGCTCACCCGTGCAGTTTGTGCTGCTGGGAGTTATATTTATGAAGAGCATCCTCAATAGAATCATAAAACATTTTGGGTTGGAAGGGAGCTTTAAAAGCCACCTAATCCAACCTCCCTGCAATGAGCAGGGACATCTTCAACTGGATCAGGTTGCTCAGATCCCCGTCCAGCCTGGCCTTGGATGTTTCCAGGGATGGGGCATACTCAGTTGGAGTGGCCACAAAGGAGAGCAAAGGCTTCAGCCCCATAGAATCATAGAATATTAGAATGATTTGGGTTGGAGGGGACCTTAAAGAACCATCTAGTTCCAACCCCCTGCCCTGGGCAGGGACACCTCCCACCAGACCAGGTTGCTCCAAGCCCCCTCCAACCTGGCCTTGAACCCCTCCAGGGATGGGGCAGCCACAGCTTCTCAGGGCAACCTGGGCCAGGCTCTCACCACCCTCCCACCAAACAAGTTCTTCCTCAGATCTCATGTCAATCTCCCCTCTTTCAGTGTCACACTGTTTCCCCTTGTCCTATGGCTCCCCTCCCTGATCCAGAGTCCCTCCCCATCTCTCCTGGAGCCCCTTGAGGGACTGGAAGGGGGTGCAAGGTGTTCCCGGGGCCCTCTCTTCTCCAGGCTGACCCCCCCACCTCTCTCAGCCCCCCCTCCCAGCAGAGGGGCTCCAGCCCTCCCAGCACTGTCACCCCAGTGGAGGAGGGAAAAGAAAAATTTGGGCAGTGGCTGCACACCCCGGGACTAATTATAAAGCCAGCACTTCCCCCTCCCACATTAGTCCCCACGACTCTGCAATCCCCAGACGATGCGTGGAAGTGGATCCTCTCCCAGCTCAGTAGGGAAAAAAAAGCATTAAATATAGTCCTCAAATGGAGGGCATATCAGAGACAGCACTGACAAAAGGGAGCAAGAGGTGCTTTAGAAATATGCTGAAGAAGAGGAGAGACTGGCACTCAGATGGGTTTCACTGCCTGCCTTTTTCTGTCTGTTTTTTTTTCTTTTTTTTTTTTTTTGCCATGTGCTTTAGGGAAAATGAACTGCTTTACGGCAAAGCCGAAAGAGTTGTACTCAAAAAAAAAAAAAATTGGCTCAAAGCTCCTCTCTTCTGGAGGAACCTCTGAGTTATCGCAGTGAGAGTCATCCTGCTCTTTTGGACCCGTTTTCCCTCCTGTGAAATGAGGATCAGTAGAGTTTGGAGCAGGCTCCTTCATTTCCACACTGCCTGGTGCAACACAGCCCTTGGTAATGGTCAGCAAACATCACTAGAACCTTCTGAACAATGGAAGATGTTCAGGACAGCGTGAAGAGGACAGCATGCAGAGGACAGCATGTCTCTCTTGTGCAATAAAACCTCCTGGGCAGGGGGTACAGAGTTCTCTGCAGGAGGGAGTGAAGTTGTACAGGTATTTGTGAGGATGCACCATTTGGTTTGTAATAACGAGTTGATGAGGGTTCACCAGCTTCTGGAAGGAGGTAGCTCCATATGTTTTTACTTGCTTTGATAAAGCCTCCTAGAAACAACATCCCTATCAAGCAGGGGTAACATACACATCCAGAAAGTGTCCAAGGAGACAGAAATGCAGCTAAATCAGGACTCTGTGCCAAATGCCCAGAGATTCCTCCTGCCAGACCCCTAAATACCCGGCCATCTGCCTCCCTCTGCCCCATAACGTGTCCTGAAGAGGTTTGCCAAGAGGCTTGTCTGACCTTGGCAGGAGAAGGGGCTCTTCCCACGTTTTCCTTTCCTGTCTGGAGAGCAGGATCAGGAACCATCCCGATCTCTGGCCACTCTTCCCACATCTCCCTGAAGGACCCCTGGGCATGGGGCAGACCCTGGAGAGTGGAGGTTCCTCTCCCT